CGACCTTGGAGAGGTCGTGGAGGGACATGTTCGCACTGCGCACGGCTTGGGGCGTGGTGAACTTCTTCTGGCACAGTTCGGCGAGCTCGCGCAACAGGACGCGGAGACGACCATTATCTTCTACAAGCTGCAGCACAGGGGAAAGCTCCTCGTTGCTCGCGTGCAAACGCTTTATGAATTGAGACAGCAGCGCCGCTACGTCCTCACAAGTGTGACAATGTGGCCCGACAGCTTTCTGGAGACGAGCGCAGAGCTTTGCCCGGTATCTCACGGTGAGCTTACGCCATGGCTTGTTCCCGCCCTTCTTGGGCGGCATGCGAAAGAAAATCGGAGCTTTGCAGGAAAACGAGATGGGGGACCCCCTACTTGGGACAGGTTTTGCTTTCGCGGAGCTTTCGCGTGGCTTTCGCGGAGCTTTCGCGGATTCGGCGCGCTGTTTCCTGGAAACTTCACTTGAGTGTTGACATTATAAACCTGTGCTTTCTGTTGCGCTTTTGCTGAGCCAAGCTAGTGTCTGCTGCTCCGGGTTGCTACCTACAAGCAACTGCCACAAAGCTTCTACACGCTCTTTGCTTAGACCCTTGCAACAACAAGAAAAAGCCACGTAGGACAACAATGAGTTACAAGGGCCCCTGTTGCGTGAATCTCGCCCCTCCACTTCGACCGATCCTGTGAAAAAAAAAGGTGTCACTTGACAACTGCCTCCATGCGCAAAGCCAAGGTTGCTCTCTCACAAAGACTCGACTGCTGAGTCCTGCTATATTGCCAATAAAAGAAAAAGTCCCCCTAGCAGCACACTGTGGTTTCGGGGTTCGGGCAATACACCAGGAGTCAGCCGTGAGTCTGGCTTGATGGGTCGCATCATTTTTCACCCCAAACAACTCTACTGCTTGGCTTCCCCGTGGCATGTTCTCACGCCAGCAGCCCAAACCCCGTGTCAAGCAGCACAGGAAGAAAAGAACAACCAGGCGTCTTACTTTGTGTGAAGCTTCTCAGCCCGAATGAGTGCAGCCTCCAAACGAGGCACAAGTGCCTCTAGCTTGCAGATCAGCTTTGCTGTGGAAGTATCGTCTGCTTTGCAATCCTGGCTTTTGACGCGCGAAGCTGTACAGATTTGGCTTTGAGCGCTTCGCCGCCCGCCTGGTCCAAAACTGTATTCACCCTCTGATGAGCGTGTAGGAGCCTACAAGCTTTGATGCAGAAATCGCAGGCTGCGCCCCGCTGAGCTTGGTCACGTTCGCAACCGCACACCTTGCACGCGCTGAACTTCTCAAACTTTCCGCCGAACTTGGTTCTCTTCTGAGGAGCTTCAGGCGTCAACGTGCGTTCTGGGTTCGATCGTTTGGCTGGAGTGTGCTGCACCACCACAGACAGATTTTTACCAAGGATCTCAGCAGGTGAGAGAGCCGTGGAGCTTGAAGGCTCCATGGATGCGATCCCACTCACGGTGCTCGTTGAGGCCTTACGGAATCTTAAAGCTATGTTTCACGAAACTGGGTCTATTCCCACCCTAAGTGAGAAAGAACTTGAGGCGATGTGTTTGCCCTCAAGCAAGAAGCCACCTGCTGACGTGCTGCGGGTTTCACAACCTGACTCCAAAAAGGTTTCTTTACGGGGTGTTCCAAACTCAAACCAAATAGGAGTGACACTGCTACCTACTGGTGGCTCAAACTAGTGGCCCCCTTCTAGTGGCTCAAACTAACGGCAAGCCAGTAAGCTTTGCAAGAGTTAGGTGGGGGCCCGCAAAAAAGGGAAACACGCAAAGCGAGCTACAAACATACAGTAGCCGTATGTTCGTTTGCCAAAATGGGCCGGGTGGCAGCGCTTTCACCGGCGTGCTCTCCTTCGGCGCATTGTCGTCCGTGGAAGCCCCTGCCCGTGGTTGGTCTGGCAGTGGCACCATGAGAGCCTCCAGAGTCGGATCCGGAATTGCCTCGTTGTGAGCAGGCTGATGAAAAACAAGACTGGGTGTATGCTTTAACCAAAGGCCAAAATAATCGGCACACCGCTGACTCACTCTATTGGGCGGGGTGCGGAAGAAGGCCCTGCGTCCTGCCGGGCCAGCTCTGCCAAAGTCTGGTCCTCCTTCACGGGCGGCTCCACTTTCCGGGAATCACCTTCAGCAACCGCGCGTTGAGTTACCACGCCTTTGACTCCGGAGCGGCCACGGGTGGACCAGCCCCACGCGGCCCCTTTCTGGATAAGCCAGGCTCTGTGATGACTAGCAACATCACACACCAACAGCTGGTAGCCACCAATCTCCTTGACACTCACGCTACTGCTGCAGCCACGGATGCCGCATTGCTCATGGGGAGGTAGCGGTGCTGCCATTAGAACAAGCTACTCTGAACCACTGTGCATATGCCTGCGCCCCTCTGCGATGAAAGAGTTTAGTCTCACGAGCCCTGCTCTGGAGCCACAGCATTTCAAGCGCAACAACACATCCTCATTGAGCCACGCCTTTCAACTTTCTGCAAAGTGAGCTCCACAAACGGTGGTGCGCCCCAAATGTAAGACTATGTAAAACAACTCCCGGTCATCATCAACATGCAGGCTTTCGCGGGGCTTTCGCGGCAAGACCTTCTTTAGGCACTTTCGCGATCAGCTTTCCCAAGCTTTCGCGGCCTGCATTTTGGCCTTCGCGGAGGATCTATAGGACATCCCCCTTTACTACTTTGTCTTGCCAGGGTTTTTGGCGCTGCTCAATTCACTTCCTCATTCTTTCAATGGGGGCCCACGCAGCAGCCCACGCAGCAGTTGTCATCACTTTCGGGAGGAAAGACCGGAAATCCTAGAAAATTGGATGCTTGGAAAGAATGGGTTTTAACCGAAAATATGGCCGCATACAATACTTCCCCATTCTTTCTGGTTTTCCAATTTTCACCCAAAACAGATGCAAAAGCCAAAAAAACATAACAACAGGGACACACTGATCTTTGATCGAAAGAACGATGCTGGGGGACAGAATGATGGGGTGGGGAAAGAAGGGAAATCATGATGGTTGTTGGGAAAGAACGATGGTTGGGGAAAGAACGATGGTTGGGGAAAGAACGATGGCCCTGGGGAAAGAACGATGGTTGTAGGGAAAGAACGATGCCCCTGAAAACAGAACGCTGCCAGTAAGATCGATGGCCTGCAGCGGCATGACTTTGGCAGGTCAGGGGAAGGGGTTGTTTAGTCTATTGGCCCTACCCCTAGCCCGCAGGACAACTTTCTGCATGCGTCAGTGCTCGCTGCAGAAAACAATTAAAAACTGAGCCGAAACCGGCTGGAAAGACCGATCGTTGCACTGAGTGCGCGTGTGACGAAAGAATGGGGAATCAACCCTTAGAATTAAGCTAGAGGCTGGTGAGGCTGCGCGATTCGATGCCCAATGTAAACTCCGGGAGCTTATATTGTTAACACTTTGACTTCTGATTCTCATGTTGCGTGTCGCCCTTCACGCAGTCTCTATGATGTCGACCCCACATGAATCAACGCAGGCTTATTCACAGGGTGGTTTTGGCCCCTCCAAAACTGGTCTGATTCTCCACATTTCACCCAGGGAGAAGGCCCCCCCCATTAATAAACGGTTGGTTGAAATTCATGTGGGGTCAACATTACAGGGATTGTTCCATCCCATGTGTGACTTGCAGTGCTGCGGGAAGCCATCGAACGAGATTTCCCCCACAAAAGCTGGTGGGTTCCGGTGGCGTTCAGAGGGAAGGTGCCAGAAGCATGAGGGAACCCCGTGAGTGCCGCCAAAAACGCGAAGGACACCTCAACGACCAACCATGTTGCCCGAGCACCTGGCTGTGTGTCAACGGCCAGTTGCCTATAGTTGCATTTTTGTGGGTCGCCTGCGGCCCAGTGCTTTGACTCAAGCCATGGAGGATCTTCTCCATTCCCGTTGGGCCCCTTTTGCGGGGAACATGGGCGTTCAGACCCTCCAAACCAAAGACTAGCAGGCATACTGTCAGCGACACAGTGACACATCTGAAGACTTGTCATAATCGTCTAGAATACTTGCAAATCAATTGATGACGATACCTACCGGCCCCAAGTGAAGGGTGGGTTGACCATGGCACGGAAACTCATGTGGAATGCAAGGGCCACAGGAATAGCAGTCATGTCGCCTTTGGCTAAAAGTGGCGAAGCCACAGCGAGCCTTGAATCGGCATGTCCTTTCAAACACTCTGAGACAGATCAATGCAATCCCAAAAAGTAGGGGATGCGGGGGAAAGAATGCAAGAAAGCAAGCAAGCCAGCCAGCCAGCCAGCCAGCAAGCCAGCAAGCAAGCAAGCACATTGAAAGCGAAACCCACGTACACACGCCTGAACCAACCCTAAACCCCCCTTAACCCCACCCTAAAACCCTGAACCAACCCTAACCTACCTTAATCCCATCCCAAATCCCCTGAACCCACCCTCAAACCACCTTCAAACGCTCCCCAAACTAAAACACATCCAAGCACTCCCTAAACACCAAGCCTAACCCCACCCCATCTACAAAGCGTACAATAAATCGAAAACCTGATATAAAGTCGCCTCCCTGCAGGGAAGCCGAAAGAAAGCCAATCATTTTGGGAGCCAAACGGCTATGAATTTCAATAAGGGACCCGAAATGGTGAACATCAAAAGAAGGTGGGGATTCATGTCCACCACCACTTTCTCGGTTGCTTTCTGCTCCCCTGCTATCAAACTTTTAGTGGTTTAATGGAAAACCCTTGGCAAAAAGTCAAAGTCCGAACATCCCTTGGCAGAATGCAACAAAGTTAGGCAAGGGACCCGAAGGGCCCGAAATGGTGGACATCATTTAGGTGGGGATTCATGTCCACCAACCACGTTTCCTCGATTTGCTTTAAGACCCCTGAGAAAATAAAAATGCTTCCAGTAATTATAGATTCCCTTTGAAACCAACCGGGGAAAATAATAAATAAAAATATATTCTTAAGCAAATGGAGGTTTTGAGGTGGTTCCAACTCTTAAATTCATCGCCACATCCCCGAGCGCTGAGATGCTGGACGCCGCGAACATGCTGATGGGCACAAGCAGGAGGCTCCACAAGAAGGCCCTCGACTCGTCGACGAGTTCACGCGCAAGAGGTGGCTATGTCTCGAGACAGGCCTTGTGTTTTGGATACTCCTCTGAAAATTTGCCTGGAACCCAACAAAAGGTCAAAGGATGTTCTTTCCTCTTAGAATTGATCTGCAGTGGAGCATATTAGGTGTGAAGGGAAACCAAAGTTCCTGACCAGCCAGTAGGAGGTCGGTTCCATATTTTGTCTGCCGTCCGCGACCAGATTTTCAAAAGTGTTTCTTCACGCAACGAGACTCTTCGCCTAACCGTGGTAACGGGATCTTCTCATATGATTCCCTGGGCATAGGACGCATACGTACTCTTCGTGCCGGCCTGGTTGGTTTGAACCATCGGGACGGGTGAGGTCTACAAAAGAAAAATATGAGCTGCAATCATCCGGCCTGGTACCCAAGGGTACTCAAAACTGTGGGTTAAGAGTCTTCAAAAGGGCGGAAATACGTCTCACCGATTTCTGTTTGGGACTGTCTTTTATCCCCGGGTGTTGAGCACGTCTCATCTGCAAAAACCCCTGGAATTCCCATCGCCTGAAGATCCGATCGAAGCTCGGGAAGGCGTCCACGAAAGGATCCCAGTACGCGAAGAGGAAGACGCGCCACCGGCGCCGGGCCCATCTGGTCGGCGAAAAAACACAGATGTCTCGCGAGGTCTATGGCTGTGGGTCAAGAAAAGGGAAACCCCAAAATGGGTTGCCCTGGTAAATGGAAACATGGACTACCTGCGGTAAAAAAAACCTGGTGGTTTCCCACACCCATATGGGAAGAAGGTTTTTCGACGGCACCTGCAAGGTGTAAGTGTTTTGAGGGTACCCTGAATTGTTGGGGTTGGTTTGAAGTCACCGCTGCATGTCCATAAACTTGTTTGAGTATTGATCATGGTCCCCTGGCAAAACCTTGCAATGTCGAATATCCCAAAAGCATCCATGGCCACCCCAAGCCAGCAAAAGGAGGGACGCTAGGGAACTCCAGTCCAGCCAATAAGCCCGCCGATGTCCCTTATTCTCCGAAAGGCTCAGGAATGTGTCTCGGGTCCCGCGGACAAACTTCTGAGGAGAGGCTCCTGTCCAGAAAAAGATCAAGACCAACCTCAAAAGGAACCGCGAAACACCTACCAACCTATCTCCAAAAACCTGAGTCGCACTCAAAACCCACAACCATGCTTCAAGAATGAAGAGCGGCGGATATCCGCAGCTAAAAAAATGGCCAGGGGATTGTCCCTTACTAACCTTCATCTACCCGAATCGGTTTTGAGCACGTGGCTCACCTGAAGTTTCCAACACTTAGAGTGGGCCACCTTCGGGCTTCGGGACCAATGAAGCAAATCCACGCATCACAGAAGAGGCCGCGGGGTGTCATCCTCTTGCAGAAAAGACGGCCCTTGTGGGCGTTGATAAGGAAGCCGGAAAGAAAAACCAAAGGTTTCGGGGTTCCTCCATGGTAGGGAGCAGCCATCGACTAATCGACCTTGTAGATGTGAGCATATTTCAAGGGACGCGGAAAGGAAGACCAACGTTCAACTCAGATGCCCAGTGGCCATGGGGAAAAAAAGAATCCGCATCCTTTTTTGGTTGGTTGAGTTTGAAGGAATCGGAACCTTCCCAAAAGAAAGTTGAAAAAAGGGCAGCATCCACTGGGCACTGGGTCAATGTTCAAGCAGTGGTTGCGCAACACGCGCCTGGATAAACGGTCCTCGTCTTCATCCGCCTGGGCGAACGCGAACGGATCGAGCCGGTCGAGTGGATTCGGAATCGAGGCAACCGACACTTGGGTAGGGGAGGGCTTGACACCTTACTTACCCAAAGAACTTGGAATTAAAGAGCAAACTAAAAGTGGACCAAGGGAAAACGAAATGCTTGAAAGGTCGAATAATTTTGAAGAACTGAGCCCCTCCTCTTCGGGTTTGCCTTTTGACCCCACCTTTTTTTGAACATCCAAGGAGGGTCTACACCTCTACGGTCCAAAAGGTGGTGCTTCCAGACTCTAAAAGGCAAGCCCGGGCTTGTAGCACGACTCATGTTACGGAATATCATGTGACAGGATTTTGTAGGTAGTGGTTGCTGCCAACGGCCAGTGAGAAAGCAAGAACCTGTGGAAATACATGAGGGCATGAAGCCGCCCATGTGCATCTATGGCAAATATCCCCTACCCTCTTCCCGTCCGTAAATCCCGGCTTGGTGCACAGATCGCTTTTGGAAGGGTACCTCTCCTGACAGCATCTCAACGCTTGTCACCCGTTGTGCCATAATCTACGGGTTTGAGTCCAACTCAGGACCCCAAAAATACTCCATTCCCTTTACACCCAAAAGCTAATTCCCTTCCAACAAAGAGACCTGAACATGTTTGGGGTCTCAGGGAGACTGAGTTTCAAGGGCTGTTTGAAACTATGGCCACGCCGAGCGAGCACGAGCACCCCCGAAATTCCGCAGCCCGAGCTGCCATCTCCATCTTGCTCAGGCACACTTCGAGCTCCTGGCATGTCGATTTATGTCGAGCTCATGCAACACGTTTTGTTTGAGGGTACCATTTTCAGCTTGGTTTCAAGGAAAACCAAAAGGAACCATCCATTTTGTGGCACCCCCGCTGCTTTGACACATGCCCACGCAACACCACATGATTCACAGTGCTTGGTTTGCTTGACTTGTTCGTAGGGTCCTCTGTCTTCCACACCTTCAAAGAGCCGCAACTAACTCATCACTTGCCCTGCCATTAACACACCGGGCAACTGAGTTGCAGGAGAAGGCCGCCGTTGTCTTCCGTACTCTTCGCACTCACGCTTGCTGTAACTGCCTAACGCACCAGTCTGGGTCCATAAACCAGCCTTAGTTTGGTCTGTCTCCTCCGGTCGGATCCAGCGCTTGAGGTTAACCGGTGTGCCCTTTTGAGGTCCCAAGCCTGTTATGACTTGTAATCGAAAGAAATTTGCTTGACAGGTGAAGAATCGCCACATGAACACATCGAACTCGTTTTGAACCTCTGCCGGTTCACGACGGGAGAAAGGAAAGCTGATTTAAGCTTAATCTGTCAGGGTCCCTTCCGCCACTTCTTTCAGCCTCCACATATTTGATGATAACATGAATTGGTTGTTTTTGGGGGAGTTGCCCAAACCAGCAATCAAAACCGCTAAGGATTTTGGTGGGAACGCTTGGCACACCAGAACCTCAAGCACTGGAACCTTTGGAAAGAGCGCACAGGGCCCTTTTGCGGTACCTAGATTCTTTGGCGGGCAATCCATTGAACCTTTTTCTCCGGGGAACGTCCGCGTGTTGTCGCCTGGGAAAAAGTTGCACAGGATACCCTGGGATCTTCCCAGTCGAAAGGGCACCGTTTGGGGTGTCAAAACCGGGATTTTGACCTTGTTGTTTGTTGTTTCTTCTTAGTGTCCATTTGAACCAACCAAAAGACGGGTGCCCCACAGCCACCAATTGCCTACTAATTGCAATTCACCAACTGAATCAAAGGACTTGCCCATAAGGACTTGTTCAAGCTGCTGGGGCAAAGAACCTAAGGTCCTTGCTCGGGAGGTGGGAGGTCCCCGAACTCCCCGAACTCTCGACCTTCTCGTCTTCCCCGACCCCAAAAAAGGGACGATGAAGCCTAGGTCCTCCAGTAGAGAGGTTAGAATAAGGGTACCTTTTTTTTCTGAAAAAAATGGTAGGGGAACCCTCCCCAAAAAGGGTAAAAGGGCACTACTGGTGGGACCTAGAAGCCATAAATTGAATTCCAGGTGTCAAAACTCTCCCCCCCCCCCCCCCCCCCCCCCCCCCCCAATTTTCATCCTCGCGGGACGGCCCGGGGCCGCGAAAGTTTTGCCATCTTCACCCAGCCTGCCACATCTTCACCCGGGACTCCTGGCACCCGTCGTTGGGCCGGAGGGGAGCCAGCTTCTCAGTCGGAAAAAGGGTACCCGTGGGAAGCCATTTCCTTAGGGGCAAGGGGTTTAGTAGGTGGTTCGTAAGCCTAGGTATAAGCCACTTACCATGGCAACCATGGTTACAAGTTCTCGTAACTGGGTTGCAACAAGAATTACCAAGCACTTGCTAAGTACCCCTGCCCCTTTCAGTAGGCACCTACTGCGAGTTGCCCACTGTTTTAGGAGACCGGGTACGAGTTGTCAAACTTACCTCGGTGTTCCAAAATTGGCTGGGCCCAACTGTTCTGCATTTGTTATTTTATTGTTTTTACAATAATCACGAAACCTGAAATAAGGGATCCCAAAGCAGAGCATCTTTACGACCAAAAATCGAGCGACTGTTTCTGTGGGGATATCGTTCTGCCCAGACGTCAGAGGGTTTTGATGGGTACCCATCTCTTCTTTTTTTTGTATTATCATGTTTTATTGTTTATTATTATCATTATCATCATCACCATTGCTGTATTTTTTTTTAAGGCATCCCGAAAAAGATCAGGCACACGTCATACCCAGTTTCGAACGCCTCGGGCCGGAAAATGGCTTTGGCCTTTGGACCCACATGGTCCCCCCACCCCGCGCCTTCCACACCTCGAAGGTGTCCTCCGGCCAAACAAATCCGCCCGTTTCGGTGGTCTGGGCCAAGCGAGCAGTGGTGACCAGGGATCCTTACAATGGATACACCGATCGATCATTGCGACTTGTAAATGGCGGTGTCCAACTTTACTTTGGCGTTGAAAAAGCCATGTTTCAAATGGTTGCAAAATGTATCTTTTGAGGAGCCCTGGGGACAAATTCCAAACAAAACCCGGGGAGAAAAACACTTATCGCAGATGCCCAGTGGATTTCCATGGGGAAAGAAAGACCTTAAAGAATCGGCATCCTTTTTGGTTGGTTGAGTTTAAGGGGAACCCTTCCAAAAAAAAAAGGAAAAAAGGGCGCCACTGGGCAACTGGGTTATGCTGAAGAGCATGGAAGTTTAGAACGCCTCTCTTGAAGATCTCCTCTATCTTGTTGTGAACAACCCTCTTTCCATCCAAACAGATCTCAACCTTTGAACAATTTCACTGGGCCCCAAAACCGGCAGCTGGCCCCCCAAATCCCAACCAACCAAAACCCTGGACCCCGATCCGGTGAAAAACGATTCCCAGCAAAGACCACTCCGCTCCGGAACCCCGAGCCCCAACCCAAAGGATCCCGGCCCTGAAAACGGTGTCCTGTTTCGCCAAACCTCTGATGAAACCGGACAAATCCAGATCTCCGGATTTCCGAGTCGCCCCCCCCCCCAAGGCAAAAGAAGGAAAAAACCAAAACCCGCGAAAAAAACCGCGGGTTTTCGGCTTCCGAACTTTTGCCCAACCCAAAACACCGGGAAAAAACAAAGCGACATTCGACCCCGGCATCCGAGTCCTCCCAGTTCCACGGCAGGAAGTCCCGCCAGGTCAAGGCCTCCCAGCCTTCGAGCTCCTCCGCGTCCAGGGCCTCGGAACCGGCCGGGCCACCCCCCGTTCCCCCCCCCAAGCTGTGAAGATGAACCAAAATCCAACCAAGCAAGAACCAGTGAGTGACAAACAGTGAGACAAACGCAACCAATCAAACGGCCGAAGAACCAGTGAGTGACAAACAGTGAAACAAAAGCAACCAATCAAACGGTCAAAGAACCAGTGAGTGACAAACAGTGAAACAAAAGCAACCAATCAAACGGTCAAAGAACCAGTGAGTGACAAACAGTGAGACAAAAGCAACCAATCCAATGGCCAAAAAACCAGTGAGTGACAAACAGTGAAACAAAAGCAACCAATCAAATGGCCAAAGAGCCAGTGAGTGACAAACAGAAACAAAAGCAACCAATCCAATGGCCAAAGAACCAGTGAGTGACAAACAGTGAGACAAAAGCAACCAATCCAATGGCCAAAGAACCAGTGAGTGACAAACAGTGAGACAAAAGCAACCAATCCAATGGCCAAAGAACCTGTGAGTGACAAACAGTGAAACAAAAGCAACCAATCAAACGGCCAAAGAGCCAGTGAGTGACAAACAGTGAAACAAAAGCAACCAATCCAATGGCCAAGGAACCTGTGAGTGACAAACAGTGAAACAAAAGCAACCAATCAAACGGCCAAAGAGCCAGTGAGTGACAAACAGTGAAACAAAAGCAACCAATCAAACGGCCAAAGAGCCAGTGAGTGACAAACAGTGAAACAAAAGCAACCAATCCAATGGCCAAGGAACCTGTGAGTGACAAACAGTGAAACAAAAGCAACCAATCAAACGGCCAAAGAGCCAGTGAGTGACAAACAGTGAAACAAAAGCAACCAATCAAACGGCCAAAGAGCCAGTGAGTGACAAACAGTGAAACAAAAGCAACCAATCCAATGGCCAAGGAACCTGTGAGTGACAAACAGTGAAACAAAAGCAACCAATCAAACGGCCAAAGAGCCAGTGAGTGACAAACAGTGAAACAAAAGCAACCAAGTGACAAACAGTCAAAAGCAACCAATCCAATGGCCAAAGAACCTGTGAGTGACAAACAGTGAAACAAAAGCAACCAATCAAACGGCCAAAGAGCCAGTGAGTGACAAACAGTGAAACAAAAGCAACCAATCCAATGGCCAAGGAACCTGTGAGTGACAAACAGTGAAACAAAAGCAACCAATCAAACGGCCAAAGAACCAGTGAGTGACAAACAGTGAGACAAAAGCAACCAATCAAATGGCCAAGGAGCCAGTGAGTGACAAACAGTGAAACAAAAGCAACCAATCCAATGGCCAAGGAACCTGTGAGTGACAAACAGTGAAACAAAAGCAACCAATCAAACGGCCAAAGAACCAGTGAGTGACAAACAGTGAGACAAAAGCAACCAATCAAATGGCCAAAGAACCAGTGAGTGACAAACAGTGAAACAAAAGCAACCAATCCAATGGCCAAAGAACCTGTGAGTGACAAACAGTGAAACAAAAGCAACCAATCAAGCGGCCAAGGAACCAGTGAGTGACAAACAGTGAAACAAAAGCAACCAATCAAGCGGCCAAGGAACCAGTGAGTGACAAACAGTGAAACAAATGAGTGACAAACAGTGAAACAAACGCAACCAATCAAATGGCCAAAGAACCAGAGAGTGACAAACAGTCAAACAAAAGCAACCAATCAAACGGCCAAAGAACCAGTGAGTGACAAACAGTGAGACAAAAGCAACCAATCAAACGGCCAAAGAACCAGTGAGTGACAAACAGTGAAACAAAAGCAACAAACAGTGAAACAAACGCAATCAAATGGCCAAAGAACCTGTGAGTGACAAACAGTGAAACAAAAGCAACCAATCAAATGGCCAAAGAACCAGTGAGTGACAAACAGTCAAACAAAAGCAACCAATCCAATGGCCAAAGAACCAGTGAGTGACAAACAGTGAAACAAACGCAACCAATCAAATGGCCAAAGAACCAGTGAGTGACAAACAGTCAAACAACAGCAACCAATCAAACGGCCAAAGAACCAGTGAGTGACAAACAGTAAGACAAACGCAACCAATCAAACGGTCAAAGAACCAGTGAGTGACAAACAGTGAAACAAAAGCAACCAATCAAATGGCCAAAGAACCAGTGAGTGACAAACAGTGAAACAAAAGCAACCAATCAAACGGCCAAAGAACCAGTGAGTGACAAAGAGTGAAACAAAAGCAACCAATCAAACGGCCAAAGAACCAGTGAGTGACAAACAGTGAGACAAAAGCAACCAATCAAATGGCCAAAGAACCGGTGAGTGACAAACAGTGAAACAAACGCAACCAATCAAATGGCCAAAGAACCTGTGCGTGACAAACAGTCAAACAAAAGCAACCAATCAAATGGCCAAAGAACCAGTGAGTGACAAACAGTGAAACAAACGCAACCAATCAAATGGCCAAAGAACCAGTGAGTCACAAACAGTGAAACAAAAGCAACCAATCAAATGGCCAAAGAACCAGTGAGTGACAAACAGCGAAACAAAAGCAGCCAATCAAATGGCCAAAGAACCAGTGAGTGACAAACAGTGAAACAAAAGCAACCAATCAAATGGCCAAAACCAGTGAACAAACAGGAGACAAAGGCAACCAATCAAATGGCCAAAGAACCAGTGAGTGACAAACAGTGAAAACAAAAACAACCAATCAAATGGCCAAAGAACCAGTGAGTGACAAACAGTGAAACAAAAGCAACCAATCAAATGGCCAAAGAACCAGTGAGTGACAAACAGTGACACAAAAGCAACCAATCAAATGGCCAAAGAACCGGTGAGTGACAAACAGTGAAACAAACGCAACCAATCAAATGGCCAAAGAACCAGTGAGTGACAAACAGTGAAACAAAAGCAACAAACAGTGAAACAAACGCAATCAAATGGCCAAAGAACCAGTGAGTGACAAACAGTGAAACAACAGCAACCAATCAAATGGCCAAAGAACCAGTGAGTGACAAACAGTGAAACAAAAGCAACCAATCAATGGCCAAAAAACCAGTGAGTGACAAACAGTGAAACAAAAGCAACCAATCAAATGGCCAAGGAACCAGTGAGTGACAAACAGTGAGACAAACGCAACCAATCAAACGGTCAAAGAACCAGTGAGTGACAAACAGTGAAACAAAAGCAACCAATCAAATGGCCAAAGAACCAGTGAGTGACAAACAGTCAAACAACAGCAACCAATCAAATGGCCAAAGAACCAGTGAGACAAAAGCAACCAATCAAACGGCCAAAGAACCAGTGAGTGACAAACAGTGAGACAAAAGCAACCAATCAAACGGCCAAAGAACCAGTGAGTGACAAACAGTGAAACAAAAGCAACCAATCAAATGGCCAAAGAACCAGTGAGTGACAAACAGTGAAACAAAAGCAACCAATCAAATGGCCAAAGAACCGGTGAGTGACAAACAGTCAAACAAAAGCAACCAATCAAACGGCCAAAGAACCAGTGAGTGACAAACAGTGAGACAAAAGCAACCAATCAAATGGCCAAAGAACCAGTGAGTGACAAACAGTGAGACAAAAGCAACCAATCAAATGGCCAAAGAACCTGTAAGTGACAAACAGTGAAACAAAAGCAACCAATCAAATGGCCAAAGAACCAGCGAGTGACAAACAGTGAAACGCGCCACGGTGAAACAAAAGCAAACCAATCAAACTGGCAAAGAACCAGTGGTGACATAAACAGTGAAACAAAAAGCATATCCAATCCAATGGCCAAGAACAGGTGAGTTGACAAAAACAGTGAAACAAAAAGCAACAAACAGTGAAAACATACGCAATCAAATGGCAAAAGAACCAGTTGGTGACAATCAGGAAACAACAGCAAACCAATTCAATTGGCCAAAGAACCAGTGAGTGACAACCAGTGAACAGGCCAAAGAACCAGTGAGTGACAAACAGTGAAACAAAAGCAACCAATCAAATGGCCAAAGAACCAGTGAGTGACAAACAGTGAAACAAAAGCAACCAATCAAATGGCCAAAGAACCAGTGAGTGACAAACAGTGAAACAAACGCAACCAATCAAATGGCCAAAGAACCAGTGAGTGACAAACAGTGAAACAAAAGCAACCAATCAAATGGCCAAAGAACCAGAGAGTGACAAACAGTGAAACAAAAGCAACCAGTCAAATGGCCAAAGAACCAGTGAGTGACAAACAGTGAAACCAAAGCAACCAATCAAATGGCCAAAGAACCAGTGAGTGACAAACAGTGAAACAAAAGCAACCAATCAAATGGCCAAAGAGCCAGTGAGTGACAAACAGTGAAACAAAAGCAACCAATCAAATGGCCAAAGAACCAGTGAGTGACAAACAGCGAAACAAAAGCAGCCAATCAAATGGCCAAAGAACCAGTGAGTGACAAACAGTGAAACAAAAGCAACCAATCAAATGGCCAAAGAACCAGTGAGTGACAAACAGTGAAACAACAGCAACCAATGAAATGGCCAAAGAACCAGTGAGTGACAAACAGTGAAACAAAAGCAACCAATCAAATGGCCAAAGAACCAGTGAGTGACAAACAGTGAAACAAAAGCAACCAAATGGCCAAAGAACCAGTGAGTGACAAACAGTGAAACAACAGCAACCAATCAAATGGCCAAAGAACCAGTGAGTGACAAACAGTGAAACAAAAGCAACCAATCAAATGGCCAAAGAACCAGTGAGTGACAAACAGTGAAACAAAAGCAACCAATCAAATGGCCAAAGAGCCAGTGAGTGACAAACAGTGAAACAAAAGCAACCAATCAAATGGCCAAAGAACCAGTGAGTGACAAACAGTGAAACAAAAGCAACCAATCAAATGGCCAAAGAACCAGTGAGTGACAAACAGTGAAACAAAAAGCAACCAATCAAATGGCCAAAGAACCAGTGAGTGACAAACAGTGAAAAAAAAGCAACCAATCAAATGGCCAAAGAACCAGTGAGTGACAAACAGTGAAACAAAAGCAACCAATCAAATGGCCAAAGAACCAGTGAGTGACAAACAGTGAAACAAAAAGCAACCAATCAAATGGCCAAAGAACCAGTGAGTGACAAACAGTGAAAAAAAAAAAGCAACAATCAAAATGCCAAAGAACCAGTGAGGACAAACAGTGAAACAAACGCAACCAACTGAATGTGCCTAAATTAGTGAGGGTGACAAACAGGAAACAAAAGCAACCAATCAAATGGCCAAAGAACCAGTGAGTGACAAACAGTGAAACAAAAGCAACCAATCAAATGGCCAAAGAACCAGTGAGTGACAAACAGTGAAACAAAAGCAACCGATCAAATGGCCAAAGAACCAGTGAGTGACAAACAGTGAAACAAAAACAACCAATCAAATGGCCAAAGAACCAGTGAGTGACAAACAGTGAAACAAAAGCAACCAATCAAATGGCCAAAGAACCAGTGAGTGACAAACAGTGAAACAAAAGCAACCAATCAAATGGCCAAAGAACCAGTGAGTGACAAACAGTGAAACAAAAGCAACCGATCAAATGGCCAAAGAACCAGTGAGTGACAAACAGTGAAACAAAAACAACCAATCAAATGGCCAAAGAACCAGTGAGTGACAAACAGTGAAACAAAAAGCAACCAATCAAATGGCCAAAGAAAGAGCCAGTGAGTGACAAACAGTGAAACAAAAGCAACAAATCAAATGGCCAAAGAACCAGTGAGTGACAAACAGTGAAACAAAAGCAACCAATCAAATGGCCAAAGAACCAGTGAGTGACAAACAGTGAAACAAAAGCAACCAATCAAATGGCCAAAGAGCCAGTGAGTGACAAACAGTGAAACAAAAGCAACCAATCAAATGGCCAAAGAACCAGTGAGTGACAAACAGTGAAACAAAAGCAACCCATCAAATGGCCAAAGAACCAGTGAGTGACAAACAGTGAAACAAAAGCAATTCAAATGGCCAAAGAACCAGTGAGTGACAACAGTGAAACAAAAGCAATCAAATGGCCAAAGAACCAGTGAGTGACAAACAGTGAAACAAAAGCAACCAATCAAATGGCCAAAGAACCAGTGAGTGACAAACAGTGAAACAAAAGCAACCAATCAAATGGCCAAAGAACCAGTGAGTGACAAACAGTGAAACAAAAGCAACCAATCAAATGGCCAAAGAACCAGTGAGTGACAAACAGTGAAACAAAAGCAACCAATCAAATGGCCAAAGAACCAGTGAGTGACAAACAGTGAAACAAAAGCAACCAATCAAATGGCCAAAGAACCAGTGAGTGACAAACAGTGAAACAAAAGCAACCAATCAAATGGCCAAAGAACCAGTGCGACAAACAGTGAAACAAAAGCAACCAATCAAATGGCCTAAGAACCGCTGAGTGACAAACAGTGAAACAAAAGCAACCAATAAAATGGCCAAAGAACCAGTGAGTGACAAACAGTGAAACAAAAGCAACCCATCAAATGGCCAAAGAACCAGTGAGTGACAAACAGTGAAACAAAAGCAACCAGAGGCGCGCCTCCGTCTTCTGCTTTCGCAGCTGGTCCCGGAACTGCTCCCGCGCCGTACTCTTCTTCTCCACCACGGGACCCGCAAGCTGTGCCTCCGCCCTCGGCTTGACCTCCTGGCATGGAGCTATGAGGTATGTAGGTCTTGGTTGACGTTGGAAGGGGAGCCAAAATCCAAATTTTAGCAGTTAAGTGGTTGGATTTCAACCCCTAAACCACAATAAGCAAAAACGTAAAATGTGTCCCAACAACAACCATGGTATGGTTGAGGGGCGGTTTACACTGTCGGACTCACATGGAACCCAAGCAACCATGGAGGAATCTGCTGTTGAAAGACTTGTTGGGCATGCTAATTTGGGCGGGTATGGTTGGTGTAGGGTTGGTTTGGGGCAGGCTTGGGGTTTGTCGGTTCTGCGGCGGTCAAGAAGTCTATTTGTATCGTTAGGGAGATCAATGCAAGTAGTTGGGAAGAAGTTGGACACCCTGCAATTTACCGCAATTTTCCCAGAGTTCGTTTTGTGAGCTAGTCATGCCTGATCAGGAATTTGTGCAGATGTCAAGGCCACATGAAAGCACCAAACCCGGCCACATGAAAGCACCAAACCCTGAACTGCTGAAACTCACAGGGGTCACAGAATGAATGTGGAACATGTCCCCCTTCTGTGGTACTGAAGTAGGATGTAATCCCATGGCTACGTTGTCACTTTTCACATTTGATATGTTGTACGTGTGTATACCCAGTAATTTGTATATGTAACGAAAATATGTAAATGTATGTTTCTGTATATATATATATATATCTATATATAGAGAGGGAGGGGCATGTAATAACACGTACATACCTGCCTAGGTACAGAAACCAAGCCCCCAAACAACCCACCGAGTTCGGTCTCCTTCATCCGGCTCCGGGTCTGTATCTTGGGCTCCTCAAAGCGCGCGGACCGGCTCCGGCCTAGAGCCTCGGCAAACGGGAACCGGCGGAAACCGAAACCCGGCAGTGCTGTGCTCAAAACGTGCTGGGGGTCCTAGGCGAAGCTGCTTGGATCTTTCACCCTGCTTGTTTCCATATGTTCCCTGAAAATGTGAATTATTATCCCACCATGAGGCTTTGAAAAGGCATCCTGAATTGCAAAGGGAGCTCCACTGGAAGGTCTGGGACCTAAAAACAAGCTGTTTGGAGCTGAAACGGCCCCAACTGCACGTCGACTCGTCTCTTTGCGCCGCGGAACCGCGCTGCCGCCGCGGGCCAAGCGGCTGCTGCTGCGGCCCAAGGGCCCGCCGAGTCGACTGCTGCTGCGGCCCAAAGCCCCACCGAGTCGGCTGCTGCTGCGGCCGGCGCCAAACCCCACGCTGCTCCGCGCGCGAGTGGAAAGCCGCGGGGCTGGTGCTTGCTTCGGGCGCTTGGGGCAACGGCAGCAGGGCCAGAGCAGGAAAAGCAGCGGGCAGCAAAGGCAGCGCAGGAACCAGGCCAACGCCTAACGAACAAAAGGCGGGCGTGAACCCTCTTTTGGCGTACTTGAACCGAAGCTTGCAGTCCCAAAAGCCACAAATACGACGCGCGGAACAATAGATGGGGTCCATTGGACATTCATGAGACCCAAACAGATTTAATAGTGGAATCACCTACATGCTCAACCGAACTGATACCAGAAAGAAGACCTGATTACTTTGTTGCCCTTTGGCCCTGCTATGCATACAATTGGAGGCCAGGACAACCTGCAGTAGTTGGAGCTTGCCAACTAAAAAGGGATTGAGGGGATGGAATCCACTGAGCAACTGGGTGTTGCTTTGGCTAAAGGACATATGTCAAGTACACATGTCCAAATCCGCAACGGGACACTTGAACCCTCATGGCTTCCCTCACAGAAAGATTATCTGGCCTGCCAAGGTTTACTCTTATTTCCAAACCTGGAATAAGAGAACACTCCAGTAAGGCTTAATTTCATGGCTTTGCTTCGCTTTACCCCCCGAGTCCTGAAAATCGCCCGCCAGAAGATAATGCCCCCCCCCGCCCACTTGCGGGGGCTGCCCCGACCTCCCGCCTTGCAGCGCCACTGGAACCTCGACCAGGCGTCCGCCGATCGCAGCAGCAGCTCGCTGCCGCGCTCGCAGCGGCAGCAGCGAAAGCAGCGCACGCGGGCCCGCAACCGGGGGCAGCACCTACCGCCCGAAGCGCGCGCGCCAAGCAGCGCCTATCCCGGCATAAGCCAAGGAGAAGCGGATAAGCCCCTAATAACGCCTCAAGTTAAGGGACTAATAGGCGATAGCCCCCTCCATAGCCCTCTCTGGAGTTCATGAAACCATGGAACGGCAAGAAAACCCAGATCTGCCAGCTTGGCGATACAATCCTGGCGCATCCATTTAGATTGCAAATGCTGCTTGGACTTGGCAAAGCCAAGCCAGGGTTGTCCTCTTGCCACGGAACAATTTCTCAGCCATCCTTTTGCACGGCAGGTTGTCTGCCTGAGACTATTCCCAGCTGGTTTGCCCACCAGAAGAACCAACAACTATCCGTTCTGGCCCAGGTAAGTTCACAAGCTCGTGCAGCTTGAACATCTCTGAAAAACAATGCTGTGCCGGCTAAGCGTGGCCTAAACATGTTTATGAAAAACTTGCAACCCTGAAACAAGACTCCGGCGAAAAAAAATCAGGTGTTTGTTTGTTTTTTACTAGCCCCGGTTTTTTACTGGTCTCGGCTCAGCACAAGGCCTCCCTCATGTGGCTCTAAAGGGGTTGGCTGGGGATCACCGGCCTCCTCGGACTAGGGCTGCCTGTAGTTTGCTTGGGATTCATTCAGGCTCGGCAACGGGCTGATATCAATTGTGCTGTGGGGAGAGTTTAAGGTTGACTTTGGGTTGGCTTGGAGCCAATTTGCGCTAGATGCGCGGCTGGTTTAGCAGTGGCTTTGGGGTTGCTTTGGGGATGTGGTTGCGCGAGTTTTGGGCTCGTTGTGGTGGTTTGGCGCAACACCCCACAACCAATCCCAAACCAGACTAAAACTTGCATGACCACGCCCTGAAGCAGCCCAAAGGCTACGTACCTGCAAAACGAGCCGCACCCCTAGCGCAACTCAGCTCCAAGCCAACCCAAACCGGCTCAAAGTCAACCTTAAACCCTCCCAACAGCATCCTGGATATCAGCCCTTTGCCGAGCCAAAATGAATCCCAAACAAACCCAAGACCCGCCCTCATTAAAACCTCAGCAAGCCCAACACTCACCCGCAGCAAGCCCCGAGTTGCCACCAAACCAAAGCCAGTAGCCAGCCCCAGTCAAGTCCGGGCGAGGCCGGTGATGCTGGGGATGCGGCCGGTTGAGCCCGAGCAACTCTGGTCTCTGGTCAATTCGCGGCCCTGACTCGAAGTAACTGGGGATACTGGGGACGCGGTTGCCCAGCCGAACAACCAACCAACCAACCAACCAACCAGTCCCCTGGCCTGGGCTAAGCCCCGAGCCGTTGCTAGTAAACCAAACAAACACCGGTTCCCGCCAAACCACCCTGCCAAAAATCCGAAAAAAGAAAAGGAGAAAAACACAAATAAGGAGAAAAAAAACACCGCGGCCGGAGCAAACGCCGCCGACGCGCGCCCCGGCCTGCGCGGCACCTCCGCCTCCTCCGCCTGGGGCGGCGCGGAGGGAACGGCGCCAGGCGGTGGGTGGAAAAAATGGGAGTGGATCAAGTAGTTGAGAAAAGACCTGTTAACCAAGAACATACATGTTACTTAAGTGCTGGCTTTTTTGAAACTTTGGTTTGGCTATGTTTGCTTTTCGGAATATTGACGTGCAATTTGTTCGGGGCCGCAAATGGTCCCGGGCCCGGATCTTTACGCGGCTTCGTTGGGGCGAAGGTCGCCATGCTTCGCGGGGGCCTTTGGGACCTTGGCGGAATTAGGAGGCCCACAGAAGACCAGTTCCCTCAAAAAGCCCCGGTGGTTGGTTCCAGGTCAGGGCACCTCGAAGAAATCGGAACCACTTTGGGGGGGGGTGGGTGAACAGTGCCAAGTTCACCGGCTGACGTTTGGCTGAGGGTTTGTATAGCCACCCAGCGGCGAACCCGCTGCACAATTGGCAAATGTCCTTGGCCAAATTCCAGCTGTGGGAGCGGGGTTAATGGGGTGGGGCGTGGCCTGGTTTCAGGGCACCCCATCAAAGCTGGTGCTGGGTTACCCTGATTCAATTCAATCCATGGGCTACGCGCCGCCCATTTTGAGCCAGACCATTTGCAAGCAAGGGCGCGCCATAAGGGCGAGGGCGCTGAACTGATGAGTCTGGGGTGAAACACCTATAGCTACCAATCCGAGTTTGAATATTCCTGTACCTTCTAAGATGTTGGCAATAAGTTGGCAACAAAAATTCAGGATCCCGCAACAAATCAAGATAAAAGCAACAAACCAAAATACATATGACAAAAGAGGGACTGTGGAGGTCCAGTTGTATTTGGATGTCATTTTCTGGATGCGCCTTTCTCGGTGCCAAAGCGGAACGGAACCGGCCATTTCATTGGGGACGAATTCCGAAACACCCGCCATGTAACTACAGGGCTTTCTACTCATCATTTGAACGTTTGAACATGATCACCCCGCGCCCATCTCACAGGTTGGCAAGTGGAGCAAACGCCAAAACGCCCCGCCGCCTCCTGCTCCGACCTAGCACTCTCGAGGACCTCCGGAGACACATCCTCCGCCTCTGCTTCGTCCTCGTCCTGCGCATTGCGCGTGCCGATGGGAGCGTGAGCAAGAAAAGTTTCTGAGAAACTTGTTGCCTCAAAATGTGCCTATTGAGGCCCTGAGCCTTTCAAAATGCTGGGGCTCATATGCCCTCCGCAAAGCGGCATCAAAGGGCATTGCCAAGACCTGATGTCCTGAAATGCCAACCCTCCCCAATATCCCAAAACCCATCGTTCTCCCGAGGGCGGCTTCCCAGGACAAACAAGCATAGAGTTTGGGAAATGGGTGGCTGGCATTCCATGATCCGGGTTAGTTTGCACATGTGGACCGTGCGTGAAGCCATGAATGGTGAGGGTCAGGGCTATACACGAAACCCCGGCTTTTCTGCGTGAGTCTTATAAATTGCGTGACAAGCCTATATATATATACATCGGTTCTCATAGTTTGTGGGGTCAACTGAATTTACGGGCCCGGTCTCTCACAAACACGGAACCCCAAGTGACGTGGGAAACTGAGTGGGATGCACTTCTGCAAAGTGTTCGTGAGTCCTGGGAATTTGGAAAGGAACCCTTGAACACAAATGGAAAGGACCCCCTGTTGAGTTCAACCGACCCATGTACGAGCCAACGTGTCCAACTATTTTGAGAGGACCATGAAACTTCCTGAGTGGCCTGGCCAAAAAAGTCAAAACGTGTGGTTTCTCCCAGGTACAAACACCAGGAACTCATGGAGTGAGACAATGACACTTCAAGGGAGAACTTCGATGAAGTTCCCATGGTTTGAACACTTATTGTAGCCCACACAAATCCAACCAAGTCAACTTTCTTTCAGGCTTCCCTATATTTCCAACCTAGCGTCGTGAATTACCGGGGGTCACTCACCTGCTGTGGATGGACGAAATCCTGCACCACTTTGAAACCATGCTTGAAACCATTGTTAGGGTTTCTGAACGGTGCGAACTGGATTTCGCAACCATCCTTGATATGCCCAAACTCCAACCAAGCTGCCTTCTCCCAAAAGTTCCCTATATTCTCCCAACATGATTAGAGCTAGACCTACTTATATATAAAGTATATGTCATTGCTCGCTTCACTTGGAGTCACTGGTAAAACGCAAAATGTAAGTAGTCTACTCCAGCCAACCTCGCACCGTGACTTCCCCAAGACGTCGTCACCTGGGGCCCAAAGCGCCGGCGCCAAACGGCGCCCCGCGGCCGCCGGCCTCGACGTCCAGAGGCATCAGCCCCGCGGTGAAGGACCTGCTGAGGTCCCTGCTCGCCGCCTGGGCGAGCTCCGTGACCGACGGCTCGTCGGCTAAGTGAGGCTGAAAAATGCGGAATCCCAACCTTGGCTGACGTTGGGGGCGCAAAAACTTAAATTTCAGCAGCTAAGTGATTGGATTTCAACCACTACAGCACAATAGCAAAAATGTAAAATGTTTCCCAACAACAACCATAAACCACCAAAAAACTAAGAAGCCAAACAACCACTAAACCAACCGCTACACCAACCACTAAGCTAAGCTGAAACCCTACCACTAAACCCAACGCAAAAGCTAAAAAGCCATTTTCACCGGATGGAGCTGGAAGCCAAGAAAACAACATTAGTTTTTGAAAAGAGCTAAAAGCTACAAAGCTAAGAGCTAAGGAACCGGAAGGAACTGGGAGCCACCGGAAGGAACTGGGAGCCACCGGAAGGAACTGGGAGCCACCGGAAGGAACTGGGAGCTAGGTGGACTTTGCGATGTCTGCAGATCCTGCATGGGTTCCAGGTTTTCCTGCGGGTTTGGCTGTGCTGGTTCCCAAACTAGTGATGTTCCTACAGGTTTTCCTGAAAACAGCGGGCTTCCCTAAGAGCGATACAAGAGCAATACAGAAGGGGACACCCTGCGTTTTCATCAAAACCGCCCAAAACAAAAAGAAAAAAAAAAAAAAACACAAAACCAAGCCCATCATCTTCATCTCCTTCTTCGAGACCTGGGGTTGGTTTCTTTTAGTTTGTTTTTGTTTTGTTTGGCGTGCTTTTTGTTTGTTTGTGGGCTAAACACCAAACAGCCAAATAGGTTGTTCGCCTTTTCTAGAAAACAACAAGCCCATCATCTTCATCTGCTCGTTCGTGACCTGTTGGTTAGAATTATCGTTTTTTTTTTTTTTTACTCATTCTAGTTCAAATTCGATTTCAACAAAGAAGTTGTGGTTGGATTCATTCCTTGTCAGTGATTGGATTCATGCGTTACCAAATTATGTTTAAACTCTAATTTGATTGTAAAGTTTTGTTGGGAAAGGATCTCCGTCTAGTCTAAATGCAAGATGCAACTCGCAGTAGGATTCTGATGAAGTATTTCCTTAGTGAGTCCCAATTCAATCCTTTGCACATTCAACTGAATTTTTAAGAGCGGCTGTTGGTGGAGATGTGAATTGAGTACGAAAACCGCTACAAAACACTGTGGTTGACGGGGTTTTCTGACCATGGTAGTGCTGGGGCCAGTAAGCAAAAAACCACGTTTTCGGGCCCCCGAATTTCTACGTCAAAGTAGAATGCTAATACTGATTATTATACTTCAAAATCAATGTTACACAGGAACACGTATTCAACATGTTCGGGCCGAAAAAATGAATTCCTTATGAAAGCTACTTATAAAAGTTCTACCAAATGTCTATCTCACATGAAGTGGCATGTAATAAGGACAGCATCCAACTTTGTTTTGTTGATTTAGACTTTAATTGATGATGACTTTATGTCGAAATTAATGCTACACATAATGTCCTTTCCAATAGAATCGGCTTTGCAAATCAGTAGACATTCAAACAACGTGTATTTAACAATTTTGGGAACGCGAAGTTATTTCTTATGATTTCTGCTTGGTGCATGTATCAAGTTCAACTTAAATTCTAACTAATACTAGGAAGAATTAAATAATCAGCCCAATCAGAAGAAACAAACGCAGCCCCCAGGAATTTGAAAAACGCAGCCCCCAGGAATCTGAAAAATGCAGCCCCCCACCCAAAAGCTAAGGGTCAAGAAGCTCTTGGACAGTACCCTCCCGAGAGTTTGCGGACGGTTTGGCTGCCTCAAAGAGGTCTGCCATGGTCTACCCGAACCTGTGTAAAGACTTAAACAGGGTGCGGCCAATTCATGAATGATTGGGGCTGTCTCCCTGTAAAAAGAGGGATTTAACTGTGGGCAAAGCTGACCAACAAAAGGGGACCCTGTGCAGGCGCCCCCCCCTCCCCCTGCTAGGGACGTTATTATATTTTTGCTCCGAACCATGAGCTTCCGCATCCGCGCCTTCCGCTGTTGGCGTTCCGTCATCAGCTGAGTCTTGCTGGGCGATGCATTGTCCAGCTCCTCCTCTTCCTCCTCCCCCTCCTCTTCCTGGATTGACGCGGTTGGCTCACTCCCTGGGTGCACACAACAAGTCCAGACTTGTTGTTTACCACCAAAACGGCATTCCCAAAAGTTAGCTAAGTGCATTAACTGGAGACGTCAGTTGCTGCGCCCAACTTGGTTGCAACATTTGGTTCTTTTGGGGGTTCTGTTGGATTCTGGATTCCGTTCAGGTTTCCCTTGAAACATGACGCAGGCCCTTGCAGCACTATAAACGAGGTGCCGCTCAGTGGGGAAAAGAAGGAAAAGGCTATTCTGGAGCAAATCAAGCGGTAGGTTTACCTCCATGTTCCGGGGGCGGGTTCCCGTTTATCCAAATCCAAATCCAAACCGCCAAACTGATTCCACCAACGCTGCCCGTTACCTCAAGAATGTTGGGCGAATTGCGTTGTTCCCATGGGCCCTGTGACGCATTCAAATAGAATGCAAAAAAAAGAGTGAGTGTTCCTTTTGGCTTCGCTTTCAACCAACCCGAAGGGTGCCCTCAACAAGAACATACACACACAGATTTCAATCCAATGAACCTCACCAAGGGAAACGACTTGCAAATTGGCAATCGAAGGTGATGCTTAAACTACAGGGGCCAACAAGGGGAAGCCTGTGAGATATGGAAAAGGTTCCTTTGACCTGCAAAAAGTAACCAAACGTTCGTTGGTTTGGCGGGCCAGGGGAACTTGCCCGTGATTGTGTACAAGGATCTGCATTTATGATGAAAAAACATAGGGGAGTGCCACAAACTCTCAGATTTTCTCTACCCCCTTCGTTTTCAAACGGGGGCTTCTCAAAAGGATCGCCGAGGCTGAGTGGTTTCTGTTGGTTTCTCTTTGGCTTCCCTTGAGGGGCGCCACGCGCGCGAGTTCACCGCCGCGCCTCCGCGCGAACTGGCTCTACCACGGGCTCCTGGACCGGGCACGCGGATAGGGCCACCATTTGAATGGGACGACACACAGCTTGCGGGTTCTTGGGGAAGCGTGGGAGAATGACCTGAAAATACCATTGGGTTCATGTACTTAGATGCCCAGTGGCCCATGGGAAAAAAAGGCATCCTGTGTTGCTGGAAAAAAAGGGGGAAAAAAGGGCACCACTGGGCGACTCGGTGTAGAAAAAGGTTGGGAGGACAATTCAACCATCTTCCCTGCTGACAAACAAGAAGCTGAGACGCCAAAGGTCAAAAAGCGGACGGTGAAAGCATAAACTCGGCACATCTCCTGTTGGCACGTTCGTATTTGGCAAAGCTCACAGAGAAACAAAGAGGGGACCAAACGAACACGTGGTTCATGACCTACTTTGCCCCAACGGAAACCTTTTGGCCTTCTCAAGTCTAGAGGGGCCGGCAGGAACACCTTTGCTTAATTCCCCCACCGAAATGGAAACCCGCCCTTCGGCTGGCTGTCTCCACTTCCTCTTGATGAACTATCCTTGGGTCAAAGGATTGGCGAAGGCCTTGCTCCAGCATGTGTGAACTCCTTTGGGTTTCCTATCGAACATGGCCAGGGTCTGGTCACGCAAAAAGAAGAAAGAAAAGAAGTACGCTCTGTCACGTCTCTAGCCTTCTCGCCGCCGTTTCTCAGCTTAGAGCACTTCTCGAATAAAACCCCCCGCCATTGCAATGGACACACACACACACAGACACAAACACAGACACAAACACACCCAAGACATATGTTTCCATTTCGTACCCGCGAAATCAGCTGGCTGAGACGTTCAACTCGGCCGACTCGGACTTTCACGGCATCACGTCACGGGCCTGGGATCCAGATGGTTGAGAGGACCCAAAACGGCTCAAAAGCACCGGGCTTTCTTGATGTCCCTTTCAACATCAGCGCTGAAAGAAGCCCGGTCAAGTGCGTATCTCCAAGCAATGATGTTACATCCACTCGAGACTACCTCAGCTTGTGCCGAACTCAACATGCCAGGTTGTGATATTTGCTTAGATTCTGGCCCGTGGTTACCTGAACATGCCTCTATCATGTCAAAACGGCCCCAGGAGTGGGACATCAGGGCCCCAGGAGTGGGACATCAGGGCCCCAGGAGTGGGACATCATGATCAAGATATGGGTGAGGCTCAAAATTGAAAAAAACTGGCGGTTACCGCAGGTGTTGTTTTGTTTTTCCCATCCCAAGGGCCAACAAATGGTACCAGTTTTTGTACCCACATGCGAAAGGCGAAAACTTCCGAGCCATCTTCACATCCCCGTCCTCCGCCTTCACCTCCACCTTCTCCTCTCGAGACTCTGACGAGGAGTCGCTCTCCGAATCGCTGGAGGAGTCATTGGAGTCGGCGTCCTGAGCCCGGCTCTCCAGTGCCAACGGCTGGGTTGGATGTATCCGCTTCGGCCCTGATGTCCTTTTGGGAAAAGATCAAATTATGTAAGGGCTTCGGCAGTGTGTTGCGTCATGTTTTGCAAGAAAGTAACGTTGAAGCCATCTCCTGTTGTTTGAGTTTCCGTGGAAGCCCACCCCCACAAGAGCAAAGGGGTGGAAGGGCACCACTTGGAACAAGACTCCTTGCAAAATGAAAGGAACAGGGGAAACCAGGTCAAAAGGTCTACCCAAAACCCTTGGTGAACAATGAACATGGTGCTTTGTGGACTTTATATCCGCATCCATTTCTGGCAAGGAAACGGGCCCGCAAAACTAGCCTCCAAAAAACCTTGATCCACAGGAAAACAATGTTGAAGCTGTTCCGACCTTCGTGTAGTCCTCCCACGGTTGCCAAACGTGTTGAATTGAAAGTAAGCTTTGCAAAAGAACTGAACCAAGTCAACAATTGTTTGGGGTTGGTGGTTTCAAAGGAAACCAAAAAAATATGACAAAATAATAATAAAAATAAAAACGAAGCCATTCTATAGGGAATTATCTTCAAACTAAAAAACACGCCGCATATCAGCTAGGCGTCTTTGCTGGCAGCCTCGCCCGACTCATCCATCGAATTCTCTCGCCATGTCACGGTTTAGCCGACCCGGTTTCGCATGAGGCCTCCTTTGGCTCACAATGCCAAAACCGTGCGATTAAACTTGGCTTGAATTAGGACCCTGGCAAGAAATAGATTTGTTGCCTGGTTGGTGGAAAACAAAGGGAACCCCCAAAAAGCCAAAAATTAAAAAGGGGAACTAATTCTGGGGAAGCAAACGGGAAACCAACACCAGAATGGAGACCACAACAGATTTGAAGAATGTGGGAGAACTGAAATTCAGAAACACCTGCATGGTTGTCCTGAGCTCGCTTTTGTGTACTTATGTCCGCGAAAGCGTACATTGAGATTTGGTGCGTGGGGTTGGCTGCCTCTCAAGCATCCCTTTGAAAAACCCGCCGCGTCCCCGGAAAAATTATGGAGCTGTTGTTGAAGGAATCTGGGCCATGAGAAACTCTCCCAGGTCCATGCGAAGTTCTCCTACCTCCTGAGCCACCGGGCGAGTGGAGAGGACTGAGCACTGGAATGCAGGGGTCACTTCGCATCTTTATGCTTTCCGCGGTAAGACAAATGTTCAAACAGATATGTCAGAAAACATGCTTCTCTCACCCGGGCAATCCCGAAATAGTAGTCGTTTATTCTCCATGTGTTGATCTTCCTTGTGCACAGCCCTTCCGCATGCCAACCGCCGGGCTTGTGCAATGCAGACAATTGTTTTCGCAGTAGAACCTTCGCAAACATGCGCATGCATTTCGGAACGACCTCCCCCCGTGTGGGTCCACTGCTACTATGGAGCCTCACTGATGCTTGAGTCATTACCATGGCTTTGTATACCACTAAAAATGGTTTCTCAACAAGTTCAACGTACAGGGAGACCATGCAAATACGCAGGAGTGAGCTTCTCTTTGGCCAGTTTTCATTTCAACCCATTGGCATGCCCAGAGGAATCTACAACCATGTCACCTTTTGCCATGAGCCCTCGCCACCCCTCTGGCGCAGATCCCGCACTCAGGTCTTGAAGGCACCCCTCCGGTCTTGACCGCCTACTGGTCACCATATGGGTGTGTGTTTGTAATTGGTCGACCCATGTCGACCCCCAAAAAATGGCTTTGGTGTTGCTTTTGGTATCCCTTTCAAACCACCAAGAAAGGGTACCAACTCCAAAAGACAAACCCACATGAGTGTTTCTCAACATGGTGGAACTTCCACCCTGTGGATTGGTGCTTCAAAGAAAGCCAAGGAAAATAACCACTTTAGGAAAGGAAATACAATATATATATATATATATATATACGTATACATATACACATATGTACATATACACACATATACGTATACATATGCATAACGAACAGCAAAGCAACCGATTCCTTGATGGACAGAGGGGGGGAGGCAAGGGCCTCTTGACCTAAAGCGCTCCCTCAAAGCAAAACCGGGATCGGCTTCTTTCTTCGACCAAAGTCACCCCTTGATTTGCGTGTCGACGGGCGCCAAAAAGGCCAAGGCTTACGGGATGTGAGTCATCAGCCAGCCTCTCCAATGTCCAAAGACCTGCAGGCACAGCAATAGCCGAAATATCCACAACGGAGCTATGGGCTACACTAAACCCAAATTTAGGCATAAATATAGGAGCAGACTATTTAGCGCCTTACATTCGGTTTTATGTAGGCTGGCCACTTGAAGTGCTTTGCCCCAGTAACCTGCAACTAGTAACTTCCCTTTGCTTAAGCCTCCTGGACAAAAAACTATTTCCAGTAGTGACAGATTCCCGAGAGAAGAAAAAAAAAATAAACAAAAAACAGGAGAAGAAACACAACACAGCCAGGGCTGGTAATCATTTCGCCCCCCCGGGCCCCCCCCTCCCATTTGGCAGCCCGAGCCTGTGGCTTCCTTTCCCGCGGCTCGGAACGAGGCTTCTCTCGGCGCAGGAATCGGGGAACCGGTCTGCACAAAGCTGGGGGGGTTGTCGCACAGTGGCCCTTTTTGGGTCCCTAAGCCCCTGCAAGGCGGCATAGAATCAGACCACCCCAATGACATTTGGGTGTGTCGTCGTTTGAGGGTACCCATCTTGGCGTGTCGTAAAGGAGAACTAAAAGGACTGACCGACTTCTTTTTCAAGGGACTTATAAACTTCATGGGCCCGAGCTCCCTTTGGCCCCGATGGAAGACTTGTGGCAACCCGCCGGCCATCAGTCGCACGAGGTCACTGCCCGTTGGATGTCCAAGCCAGCGTTGCCGTCGCGCGGCCGGTATCGAGCTTCGGGGACTCGATCGCAACCCTGGAGACATTGCCCAATGTTGCGATGGGTGTGTTTCTGTTGGTAAAGGAAAGGAAAACTAAAAGAACAACCACTCGTTTGGGGATCCTGAAAGCAACATGCCCAGATCCTATTCCTTGCTCGACATGCCAGCTTCGCCTGCGGAGAACCCGCAGCTGAGGATCGGGGGGCCCGTCAGGAGTTGATCTTGCTCTCCTTAGTGCGACGCTGCAAAGGAATGCTTGTTTCTGTGATACCTAGGTTCTCCAGTAGAGAGGTTCGAATAAGGGTGCCCTCTTTTTTGTAGTCTATTTTAGTGGGGGAACCCTCCCCTAAAACAGGGTAAAAGGGCACTACTGGAGGACCTAGATACCGAAGTGGGCCATCTCATTGCGGTCAACTCCATCCCCACATGTTCACTTGTTTACTCAAGAGGGGAAGGGAGATTGCCAAAAGAATGACTCCCCTGCCACCTGTTGGGTTTATGTCAGAGTAGGGCCGCCTCAAACAACATGCTGTGTTTTCCCTTAGTTCCGAATACCAATGTCAACATGGGTACCAACTCACACAAAAAAACACGCACACGAGCACAACAAAGCCTATTGCTTGCCAACCTCCTTCTCCGGGGAACTTCGGAAACCTGCGGAAGGTGAGAAGAACAAAGTACCTGGAGTCTGGAGGCCCCATGACTTATAAAAAGGGTGATGGAGACTAAGGGTATGCACAGAACGGCCCGTGTATTTGGCTGTTCGTCCTTGGAACCTTCTGCTTTACGGCCTGCGTTAACGTCAAGATCGGTTCAACATCAGAGTTCAACCTACCAGCCACAGATGAACGACGGGCATTCAGCCAGGTCGCTACCAGATTCGCCAGGTCCTCGCACGAGACCCCCAAACAATTGTCCAACGCAGCAATCTCTTGGTAGGGACATGGGGGACCTGAACTCTGCACACCTGCGGTGCCAGTAGTCGACAAGCGGCGCGGGGGGGGGACCCTAGTTCTCCCATGTCAGTTGCCGGAAACAGCATATGTCTGGCTTCATCAAAGGGGCATCCTCGAAATTTCCCTTCAAATAGCGGGTTGAAGGGAACCAACCCTATAGAATTTGAGACCCTTCCAAATGTTCACCTTAAAAGGCTCATGACTCACAAGGGTGAAGGATCGCTTTTTGAACAACCCAGTTTTCACCTTAGCTTTCGGTCTTCCCCTCGGTTTTCCCCTCGGTTTTCCCCTCCGCTTTCCGCTTGGTTTGCCCTGGCCCACCCGAGTCGCAGCCAAACCTCTTGAGGTGGTCTACCCAGAACATCCGCACCGATTTATGCGTTTGAGGCTCTTCCTTGCTTACCATCTTCAATCCGTTTGTTTCTTGGCTTCCCTTAGCTTCTCTTGGCTTGTTTTGGCTTCTCTTGTCTTCCCTTGGCTTCCCTTGTTTCTCCGAGGGTCTTTCTGGGTTTCCCTTCACTTCCCCTCAGTTTCCCTCGAATTTCCGCCGGCTGTGCCCACACAAACCACAGGAAAGCTTCCAATTCGCCTCTCGGCGGCTAGAACCAATCCCCCGCCTTTCCCCTCGCTTCTTTCTCATTAAACCACCATTCCCCTGAATTTTGTTGCTGCTTCCCCTCCCCTCCCCCTCCCCCCGCCGGGTTTTTCCCCCCCGACCACCCCCCCCCCCCAGACCACGCCTGCACCGTCTGCAGCTCCGCAGGCATGGGGAAGTTGATCCAGGTGCCCGCCAGGATGGTCAAGAGCTCCACCCCGAACTCCTGCGCCCCACACGCGTTTTTTTTGTTTAGGATGGTGGGTGGGTGGTCCTTTGGGGGCCTTTGGGGGCTTTGTCCTTTTTTCTGGCTCTGGACGGTGGGTGGGCGTTGGTTTTTTTTGGGGGGGCATTTTTCCTTTTTGTGGGGGCCTAGGTGATGTGGATGCTGATACAAACAAGGGTTCTAGAGGTAGGCTGGGTTGTAAGGGTTTGTAAACGGCTGGAAGGGTATATCTAATCGCAAATCTATAGCCTATATATATATATATATATCCCCACCTCCACTAAATGTATTGGGCAGAGGGGTTGCTGCCAAGCCGAAATACATTTAGGCCGCCACGTGCAAAATGTATCGTCCCCTGGTAGTGCCCTATGATGTCCGCTAGCTCTTGCATGCTCTTGCGCTGAACATCCTTGGACCAGCTGACTTCTCTCAGATGCCGCGCACATTCGCCCACAACATGAAAAACACGTTGAAGTCTCAAAACAAGCCAGAGAGCCCGGGGGCCCATCCGCGTTTGCCCGCACCCGCGCTGTGCATCGGCGCTCTGCACCGGGCCGCGACACTGGCGCGCCGGCCGGGGTTCCCAGCAAGCCGGGGCTGGCTATGCCTGGCTCGCGGTGGCCACAGGATTTTCAAAGAGCTCGGGCAGAATGTGTTTGGATTGCTTCGGTTTGCCCATTTGGCTTCTGCGGGTGATGTTTTTGAAAGTGACATTTGAAGCTGTCTCTTCAGCACAGTCGTCAAAAGGGCTTGGCTTGCCTTCAAGGTGGATATTTGGGAGGAGCACAAATTCTGCGCGTCCATACCTCCTGATACTGACTTGGTGATCCAACGAATAGCTCAGGGCTTTCCTGCGGCGCCCCGCCTCCGCCCCCACACCCACCCCGGAAACCGCGAGTAGACAAAAAATGCAAGTTCCAGCGTCACAAAGAAAAGACAAACAAAGCACAATGGAACCATGCCACTGTGTGTTTGCGCAGTGTGTTTTTTTTGTGTTTTTGTTTGTGTTGTTGTTTATGTTCTTATGTTTTTTGTGCTTTTGTGTGTGTGCTTTTTGAATGCTTTGTTTGTGTTCTTTTGTGTTTTGTTTGTGCTTGTTCTCGTGGTTTCTCTTTTGGGGAACTTCTTGCTGCAACAGGGAAAGCCAAAGGGCAACCCTGCATTTGGGGGAGTCCCATATCTACTTAGAGCCGACGTGTGATACCCGGGATATGAGGGAACCCGCCCCTGGAAAATGAGTCGTTCTGAAGGTCATTGGATTTTACCAAAGGCCTCATCGGAAAGAATGGCGTTTGCCATACTCCGGGGCATATCCGTGTTCAACATGAGATGCGTTTGCGACAGCGATGCAGCAAGGCCATGTGGGACTCACCTGGCAGGTTCAAAGGGGGAAATCCTTTGGAATGGAGAGAGTGGTACCCCTTTGACAGGCACCCCGCAACCATCAACCCCCTTGTCTTTTAGTTTGCACACCACGGCGTGAATTTACTGGATCGCAGTTCAGAAGCAAAAAAAGCAGGTGTCAATAGACTCAACCCTCAAAGGGACTCTCCTTTCCAAGAGGCCAAAAGCTCCCTTGTGCCAAAACCTTGTATTTTGAAGTTCCACTTGGGAGGGAAGAATGGCTCAAGAAGCCGTATGAAAACAACAAGGGCGCCATCCTTTTCAAGAGCTCTTACTCAAACATCGCACCCTGACCACCTTTTCGGCCCACCAAGAAGGGTCCTCCTTTCCAATTTTAAGGTAATTCTAAACAGAACGCCTATAACAACGCGGAGCCCCCACCTTGTTTATTCCCAGCGGTGGTTGCAGGCGACTGTAAATCATTCGATTGCGAGCCAATGCGAGCCATTTCGAGGAAGAGAAACGTTTGGGGCTTCTCGGCCTGAAGGCCTCGCCTATTTAGTTGCTTTGGAGTCGGCGTAAATCGGTAAAACGGGCAACTCGAAAGTATTTTGGAACATGCTAAATTTGCATAGGGGGGGCGAGAGAGAGAAACAGAGAGAGACAGAGAGAGACAGAGAGAGAGAGAGAAAGGGAGAAACACACGGAGAGGGGGAAAGAGAGAGAGAGAGATAGAAAGAAAGAGAGAGAGAGAGAGAGAGAAAGAAAGAAAGAAAGAAAGAAAGAAAGAAAGAGAGAAAGAGAGAGAGAGAGAGAGAGAGAGAGAGGAGAGAGAGAGAGAGAGATAGAAAGAAAGAAAGAAAGAGAGAGAGAGAGAGAGAGAGGGAGCGAGACAGAGGAGACCTGTTCCGCATTGTTCCGCCATATTTCGCCCTTGCAAAACACGGACAGTTGTTGACAGCAGTTACCATTGTAGCAGTTGGAAAGAACGAGCATTCTTGTAGCAACTCGTGGGTCAACTGCTCGTTTTCCAACGATGTTGCCATATGAATGGGGAATCACACATTTGCAGTGTGCTGCCGTTCCACTTCGCTGCGTTTTGATCAAGCATATCGATGCAGATTGTGTACGGGGGGGGGGGGGGCGCAGCGCAGCCACCGTCTTCACCCAATGGCCAGGAGGCTTCAACAAAAGCAAACGGGCCAGCGTTTGCAACAGCGCTGCCGCGAGCTAGTACAGGGGGGCAGGCGCCAGGTCATGTGACGGGCAAGCAGTTCCAGCCTTGTCAAGGATCAAAGGCGCAGCTTTCTTTGTCTGGCTTTGCTACATTGGCAGGATCACGGCCAGCCGCGCGACCAGATTGTGTGGCCGGCAAGTGGCTCCAGCCTTGCCAAGGATCAAGGGCAGAGTGAGCAGAAGGCTTCTACCAAGAAGTCATTAAAAGGGCAGAAAACGGAGCGGGCGCTGGTGAGAGGAGCTGGGCGGACTGACAGGAAAAGAGGCCGTGAAAGGGAAGCGTGGCTTCCGCCTTTGCGAGGGGCCGTTGCCTGCGATCATGGAATTGTTCGCACGAATATTTGCGGGTGGAAGCATTTGAGGTGCTGAGGTCGGCCGATGAGGACCTTCTGAACAAGGACAGTTTGCAGATGACTCCGAGGTTTCTGAAAGAAAGTCGCCGAGCTAGCTTCACGTTTTGTTGCGCAAACCCTTGTAGTGTAGCAAACGCTGTTTGCAGTTGTTGTTGCCCTGGCCGCTTTTCTGGCCATGGTCCTGGCATGCTAACAGTTGTTGCGAGGGAAAGGGCGGAGAGGGGAAGAGGTTGCTTCTGACCATTTCTGACCACGTCCCAGCACCTTTTGCTCCAGCCCGCAAGGACGTCCAGCGCTATATCCAGTCGCAGCTGCTGGGAAACCAACTGCAGGGGCTTTGGGCTGGGCTGAGTTGCGCCACTTTCTCTCGAGCTCGAAGAGGGCGGCGTGACACCTGGAAAGCGTTCTTGGCCAGCGCCGCTGCGAGGCGATGGGCCTACGCAGATTTATGGCCTTCCTGGCCCGACGGCCAGGGAGCAAGGAAACGCATGTCTTCCCATTGTTGCCTCTGTTGATTTCCGAGAGTCAGCATCAAGCTCGCTCACGTTTGTTTTCTTAATGTGTGTGATTAACAAGAAGCTTGCGTGCTCCTACATGTTCTGGTGTGGGCAACAGCGGCAATCCCTTGGTTGTTGTATAAGAAGGAAAGGACTCATGCGGGTGGTCTGCTGCCAGGTTAGCAAAGTCTAGGGCGTAGGTCTGCTCGGCCTGCAGGACGCAAACCTGCAAGTGGAGTTCGTTTGCGATCTGATAGAGCTGCTTCAGGGCCGCTGCTGGCTGATCGTCGAGAATCCAATTTTATCTCGACTTTGGCGCTACCTGCGTTTGCAAAGGCTCATGATGCAACCTGGCGCAGTTTGGAATATGTTGACATCGAGTTATGTTGACAGCCTAAGTGTGACATTGTGTGACACTGAACCAATTTGGATTGGGAGCGTGATTCGACATGTGTCTCCATTTTCTTGAGGCCTCCTGCAAAAAGCAATCAGGCAGATGAGCGCGTCCTATGTAATGTGTAACACCTGGTCTGTAACGCCTAGCCGCGGGACAACTTGCCGATGAAATCTGTTACGGGTATTCTGTGGCTGCTTTCTGTTTCGTGCGCAAGGCTTTCATCGCCTGCCAAAGTGCTCAAGGAAGGCATGGCATGCTTAGTTTCTTCATGTCTTGGGGTTTCCACAGCAAGCCACCATTATACACTATTGAATTCTTGGCGGTTTTATTCCCTCCTTTTTGGTGTTTGCCTGGATATGTGCTGTGTTGCCCCTTGTTACCCAGGATCACAGATTGCTTTTTGCACCTGGAGCTTTAGGTTCTAGAGGAGAAATCCAGAGGCCGGGCGGGGTCGTTTTCAGACTTTGGAGCATGTTCGCATGGTTTATCTATGTTTATCTGAATGAGCATGTTAGCATGGTTTATCTATGTTTGTCTGAATGCAATGAATGCTTTGTTGCCGCGCACTTCCAGTGGTTCAGAAACCTTTGCGTGGCACAATGCGACAGGTCAGCAGCAATCAGCAGCGCGCGTGTCAGGATATTCCGGGTCAAAGGTGCAAAGAGTTGCATCAATGCTTGCTTTGGGCTGCTCCGCCTGGTTTCTTTGTCAGTTTGTCGCATCTCTGTCGAACTCTTGCATTCAGTTTACCATAGCTTTGTGTCACATGACAGGACGCGCGGTTCTCTTCACTCGCGCTTTTGAGCCACTTGCTGGTTTCATTTGTTGCGGTGCTTGCGGCTTGCGGTTTTCCATTAAAATCGAAATTTTCCAGCACTCTGAAGAGGATGGGGCGGGATGGGCACGGCTCCTTAGCATAGCCGTGATTCATCGTGATTCTGATGTTGCTAGCGTGCGCAGCATCACCGCGCGGTATTTAATGGATCTTGCAATGCCAGACCTTAATGTGGGCAACGTTGGGCCGCGTCTGAGGTCGTCCGCTACAGCCGTTGGTTACTTCGACGCATGCGCTTTTGGGCAGCGCTGGCGCAAGAGAACGAGGTTGGTCGGCTTTGCAGGGCAAGATCTTCAGCGCAAGTTCCGGAATGCTTTGCGCAGGTGCCAATGCCCAAA